TGGAGATGTCCCTGCCCATGGCAGGGGGTTGGACTGGATGGCCTTGAAAGGTCCCTTCCCACCCAAACCATCCTGTGCCTCAATGGAGCTACCTGTACGTGCATATCCACGTCCCAGCCATGGGGTTTGGGAAAAATTTAACATCTGTCATCAGGCAGCGTGGCTCCGCTCGGAGCGTGCGGCAGGGGGTTTGGCAAAGGCGGCGCGTGACGGATGACGTGCTCTGAGCGCTAACACTGAGCGGGATTCACCTTGCGCACGAAGGACAAAGCGTTTGCACGAAGGACAAATTGTTTGCACACAGGAAAAAGTATTTGCACAAAGGAAAAAGTATTTGCAAAAAGTATTTGAGCGCACGAGCTGGGCAGCCCTTAGCAGGCACGGTGCAGGGCAAGCTGGAGCCCACCTGCGGCAGCTCCTGGAGGGATGTTGGGGTTGCAAGGACCTGAGCAAGTCCTACTCCCTCCTTAATGCACCTCACCCCTTCTCCTGCGTGTCGCTTGAGCCCTTTGGACTCGCACGTTTCGGTCTACGAGTTGACACTCGGGGTGAATTTTAACCTTTATGTGGTTTCTCGAGCACATTCACCGGCGGGAAGCGGGTAAACGTCCCCTCTGACCTGTTTGGTTGGCAGGAGGACAGATCTGACAAGGGTGCGTGGTTCCTCACCAAGTCTGGCACGGCGTGGGGCAGAGCGATCTGTCCTTCACCTTCCCCAGCCATAAAATGGGCTTTCTGCACACAGTTAATTGCTGGTAAGCACTTCATGGGCCTGATCCTGACAGATTAACATGCACTTCTGATCATTCCAATCGAAGGAATAACTTGAGGATGAATCACAAACATGGAGTAAAGTGTCACCTTCCATCAGAAACAAAGGTGGCATCCCAAACAAGCCAAGCAACGAGGGCAAAGCGCACCCTTTTGTATTCATCCTTCCATAAAAGCAGGAGAACTATTGCAATGATGATCTCATGATTTTTCATAAATTAAGTCATGATTATTTGCCACAATTTAGTGCCTGAAGGGTACCAGGAGGAACGCTCT